AATTAAAATAACTTAATAAAAAGAGTTGTTTATCCAATTTTCTTTTTAGAATTTTTCAATCTCTAATTAGTTTTTATTACAATATTCTTACATTTCTTTTATATTTTTCAAAATTGTTAATATTCTTTCACTCAATTATAGATAATTTTTTATTTCGGAGAATAACAAAATATTCGGTATTTTATGATAGCAAAAATTATGTGTCTTATAGGAATACTAATTTTATTTATTATATAGAAATTTATATTAATATAATATTTATAACAATTTAATGATCTGTAAAGATTAATAATAAAATATTTTTAAAGGATATAATAAAATATAAGACACACACATAGTACACACATGACTGTATACAGATATTGATTATTATGATGACAATAATGTATATACTAACTGTAAAAAAAAAAAAACAAAAATATCAAAAATTAAAATAAAATATTAAATCCTTGAAAATTCAAAGGCCTATACAATATATTTTAACATTTTCATGAAAAATGAAAGAAAAAAAAAAATTTTTTTTTATATCAAAATTTTACGTCGTCGCCTTTTTTTGGCAACAAATTCCCAAAGTGATTCTGTGATTTTCTAAATTTATTTACAAATACTTATATATAAAGTGTGTGGATATAAATTTGAACAGAACATAGAGCTCGTATATTTAAGCACCATATATATAAATAAAATTCTCTATATAAAATTCACATTTTTTTTTTTTGATTGTCTTTCATTTAAAATTTTTGTATTATTTATTTAAATTGGAATTTGTGGCGACTTAATGGTCAAGGAATTGTTTTTTAATGAAATTTTTAAAATTCTTCCTTTTCTTTAGAAAATTTCATTTTATTGGGAATTTCCTCCTCCATATAATATAATTGTCATTATAAATGAAATAAAAAGAATTTAGTTTTGAATTTCATTTTTGATGAATTGGCATTCAACCAATAAATACTTTGGAATGGTCCTATATGATATAGTGTAGAAACAAAAATTCTTCTTTTTCTCTTTTGTTTTTTTTTGGGTTTATTATATTTTAATTTAAAATTATTATTTAATTCTTATTTATCTAATGCAATAATTTTTTTTTAGAAAGAAAAATGAAATTTATTATTTCCGCTATACGCTCTAATGTCCTGTAAATAAATTTTTTTTCACATTTTTTTTTTCTTTTATACATTTTAAAAATAATATTATGCAATTTAAATAAATTAAATGTATAAAATAAACATTTTCTTCCTCATTTACTATATTATAGAATATTATTCTTAGTTATAAAAATTCTTAGAAGTGAAAAGAAAACATTCTATACATGTGTACTCGTATTTAAATAACTGAACAACAAGACTTTAATTTTATTATCCTTAAAAAATTTTTATTATCCTTATTAGATATGTGGTCTTTGTAACAGAATTTGGAACCTGTTTAAGATGAAAGAGAAAATTCAAAATGTGTTTAGTATATACGAATTAAATGAATTGAAATTAAATACAAACGAAATATTCGCAAAAACCTTAAAAATTTATTTCCCAGTTTTACACTATTCATTTTTCATTTTCATCTTTTCACTATGTTTCATCCCTTTAAGTTGCAACCATAGGCTACATTTGTCGTTTAATAGTGATAAAAATTCTTGCAACTGTCTAATATTTCTGTCCGATTTATGGTATTGAAAAGTAAAAAAAATTGAATATAAACAGGAATACAAATCCTGTCTATTTCTGTATTTTTATTTTTTTGCTATACTAGATGTGCTCGAGGTATTATGGAGGATTGAATGATTGAATAATTTTTTATTTTCAGGTTCAAAACTTTTTCTCACTTCGGGAAGCATTTATTAGGTTAACTAAGACACCCATTTCGTTTTAATATATTGAAAAAATTTTCCAAATAGGTTTTCAAATCCTTAGAAAGTGGCCGTATTTTACTTGACCACTCCAATATCGAACCCATATAAGCAACTTAAAACAAATAACAAGTTTTCTTAAAATGTCATATCTCCGTCATTTTTTCATTATTAAAATTATATGTAAATATCATTTTACAAATATAAAATATACGATCTGACTTACGATCATATGTTGCCCACTTTAAACTCTTTTATTATTGCATAACTTCATAAAATTTTTCAATTGTTTAACTTTAACAACAAAACAAAGAATTATTAAATTTTATGAGTACAGTTTTAAAAATAAATATTTACCTATTAAAAAACTTTAAAATTTACGAAAGAAAAATAAAAAATAAAATATTTATTTTAAAATAAGAAATTTTCTGAAAATCTAAATGGCAAATGAATACGCTCACTAAAAATATTTCCCAAAGAACAAAAAAAAACAATTTTTTTTTCCAGCTTATATCCTTATAACGTATAGTATATGCAATAAAGTATTTAACGAAAAAAAAAAGGACATTATTGTTTACCAACTTTTCTTAGCAATTATACGTACATTTATACAAATAAAAATTCAAATAAAGAAGAAAATATTTTATAGAATATTTTCGAAGAAAAACAAAAAATTCAATGATCAAAAAATTTTATTTTTATATAATGCTCAAGGACTACTTGTGTTGTCAGTAAACCAATGAAAAATATCTGGAAGCATTTTGATAACAAATTTATATTTTTATTATTTTTTGGTTTTCTTATTTTTGAGGATAGAACATAATATTATTTATTTTATAAAAGAAAACCATACATACACATACAGAATAATATGCTTGTAGCTTTTTTTTGTTATACATAGCTACAAGTGCATATACGATGTACTAGTATATAAGAATATTTGTTTAGAAAAATATCGCGTTCTGTTAACAATCACTTGCAATTTTTTTGCATTCGTTTTTTTTATTTCCTTTCACATTCATTTTTGAATTTTTATTTTCTTTTTTTATTTAACACATAAAACGTGTGGAAAAGAAAATGTAACAGGTTTCATATTATTGTTTTTCTCCATTTTTTATAGTTATAAGAACAAAATATCCTTTAGAATTTCCTTATTTATTTAAATCATAAAAAAAAAGTTACTTTATATTTTAGACAAAAGAATTTCGGAAAACAATGCTTTTCTATGCATAAAAAATTATATTTTATAAACGAATATGTATGTATGTATGTATGTAAAATGAATAAAGTTTATAATTTTATTTTTCGTATCGAGCTTGCACTTTGAATTAAAAAAGAGTAAATACAATAGAAAAATTTAAACAGAGAACAGAAAAAAATAATTTTTTATAATTTTTTATTTTCTTTTTACATATATACAAAATACATATACAAAGTGAGTCAAAAACCACAAAACTTTATGATTTTCCGTTCTTACATGCACTCTCATAAAAATGTTTGCGCTTGATTTTGTGTATAATTTCTTTTAAAATAATCCATTTGAATTAAGAACAATAAAAACAAAAAAAATATAAAAAAATTTTTATTTCAATGAATTTGTAAATTTGAACATTTTTAATAAATTAATTTTATGGTTTGGAAGCACTAATATTCCGGAATTGAAGGTATTTGCTAAAATTTTGCACATCTTCTATTAACAAAAATTTTTCGAATTTTGGCCAAATTTTTTTGTATCCCTTTTACGAAATATGTACAAAGGAATTAATAATTCAAATTATGTAATTGTAGTTCTGAAGTTATGAACAACATTGCTAATATTTCTTGCATTTAAAAGTTGAAATTTATAATTTTCTAGAAATAATTCATCAAAATCTTGTTATTTCTGATATTGATCAACTTTTAACATACATTTAATCAACTTGATCAACATTTAATTACGTAAGCTAGATTACAAAGCCGGGGAAAAAATCTACAAATAATTTAAATAAATTACAATCTCAAGTAGAATTTAAACAAGATTTTAAGAATAAACTTCTTAATCATAACGCTTTCGTCACAATTTTTCCGTATACCATAATATTGTTAAATAATAATCAACATCAAATAAACATTACTGATATCATAGTTCTCGATATGGATGATACATAGTACTAAATTATAAATAAATATTATACGTAAGCCACAATTTGGTGCAATTCTCTTAACTGACCTTATGTTTAGCAGCAAATTATAAATAGTTCAAGCAACAAACCTAAAATGTCTATATTAAAATATTTTGAATAAATCAATCAATTACATAATTAACTTGCTATATCTTATAAGACAAGCTTGTATATATATAAACGTATATACAATAATATAGCCCCTATAGGAAATAAATTTCAATTCATTTAAATTATTTTTTTTTTTAATTTCATAAATTTTTCCATAACAAATAAATTTTATATTTACCTTAATTTTTTCTTATCATTTTCTAAGTGACTTTGATATTCTCTAATTTGACAATTTGTACGGAAATTTGTCAAATTTATATGTAAATTCACTTTTGTGCAATAACAATGAGATTTATACGCATATACCAATGTGTATATAGTATGTAGTCTCTATATGATATTTTAGAATAAATATTTAAAATAAATCTTGTTTTAAAATGCATTTATTTGTAAATTTAATTTGAAATAAAGAAAAGAAATAAAACAAAAGAAGTTCTACACATCATCACATTGCAAAATACTGCAATATTTACACATTCATTCTACATACATACATATGTGCATACGTAAATGGCATGTATTTTTATGTATATCAATGTATGACTCCATAAGTTACTCAATTTGAACTTGAGAATTGAAAAATCCTTTTGTTTCTATTTTATTTGTTTATGAAAAAAAAAAAGGAAAAGTTTTTTATGTGAGAAAAATATTTTGTTATTTCTTATTTCATTTAATTCAATTAAATTTATTATATGAAATGTGTAATATAATCTTAAAATTTTCTCTTATTTGCTAAAAATATGTACATACATATGTATATATGTATAATCAATGGCATAATAAATAATAAAAAAGACTTATTATGAATGCTATTTTTTTTTTGTTACTTTTAAAACTTATTTAATTTATTAAAGAGAAAAATAATTTTTTTTTTGTATTTATAGGGAAGAAGCTATGGTAATGGCTAATTTAAGAAAACGTGTAGCTGCTGTAGATTTAAGTCGTAAAGCAAAAGCATCTGAAGATCCGAATGCAAATGATACTGGACAATCCGAGCCATTAGATAACCGTCCTCTATTGCCAAAGGTAAGAAAATAAAATAAATATGTATTCGACAATCCAAATGTGTATAATCCATTTTATATTCAGTTTTGTTAATCTAAAGATGAAAACTTTTTTATTTAGAAGACATACATTAAAATATAAAATCTGTTTAAACAATAAAGTAATTACTACCATGAAGTTTTACTGCCAAAGTTGTTAAAGTTCTTTCGAAAATATTTCTTATTCTGTTCAAGACTACGTTCCGTTGCAATGCAACATTTGGAAATCTGTTATGTTCTCTTAGAACTGAAAATGTAAAACTCGCACTAATGCCTAATAAACCCCGGTGCTCTTTATGATATTACACCGAAACTCATTTATTTTTGTAGCGTAAAGATATTTAAAATTAAAACCCATCAAATATAGGCTATAAAAATTTTATATGAAGAATTGAGTAAATGAGAATAGAATTAAAAAGAGAAATTAAATTTTACATACTCAGTGGTGACAATTGACCAAGTTTGGAATTGGTTCAAGCTGTACCAACCTAAAATGTACTATAACTAATTTTCATCTAGTTCGAAAATTTACTTGTTCCAAAAATCCACCTGAGAACTTTTAAACTTTTCAAACCTGGAAACAGAACAAAAACAACTTTTCAAACCCAAGAGCTTCTCATTTCCCTAATATTATTTTTGAAATATTTCTAATGGAAAACGTTTCATTTATAAGAAATATCACAGCACAAATTCTACTTTTGTAGAATTTTATAGAATCTCTACAAAAATAGAATTTGTGTTGTGATAACATCGAAAATTTTTTATGAAATTCAATTGAAAATTCTATATGGAATTAGTCAATTTGGTTATTTTGTGGTGGTTACATATTGTAGATGATTGGTATATTAAAACCGCATACCCCTAAAAATATGCAATATTTTTAAAACTGTCACGTAAAAAAAAAAAATAATTTTTTTCTCTATTTTATTTTTAACTCGCGTTTTTCTTACCATTTTAAGTTTTACTGTCATAAAAATTTTATATATCCAACGAATATAACAAGTACTTTTTCTTTATTAAATAAGGGTAGACTTTAATGATGTCCAAAGGTAAAAATATAAAATTTCAAATCCTTATTCCGATGGTATTATTAAGAAAAAAAAAAATTTTTTTTTTACCTCCTTTTCAAAATTAAAATGCAATGAAAAATATACCATACCTTTGCTATAAAAAATGTAATAAATTTTAATATAAGTATTACATGTCATATATAAACCTACATGTATACAATCTAATAATATAAAAAAAAAAATTTTATTTTTATTATTATTCCACCTACATTATTTAGTAGAGAAGACTAGATATAGAAAATTTCAATTCTGAAATTCAATTATGTTATTATACCAGTTATTTTATTTGCATATCATGTTATAATTTGTATATGTATGTACTTGTTTGGGAATAGTAGGTTTATTACAACTTTTCTAACAAAATATAGACCCCCATTGAAATAACATAATGTTTGTGTGTTCATTTCTAAGAAAATTTATTAAAGTGTAAAAATATTGATAATAATTTATTATGCTTGGTATAATACTTTAAGATTTATCATATTAGATCGTGCATCTTTTCTATTATTTAAAAAAGAAATTAATAAAACAGAAATTTTTATTAAATAAAAATTTTTTTCAAAAAATATTATTACATAGGTCTACAAATACAGACATGACTTAAATTTATTATTTGAAGCACATAATATCAATATTTCTAATTTAATTTACATGTGGACTATAACTGTTATATTGTATTACAATAAATATTTTATATTCTAATCTATCATCAAAATATTATTTTAATTTATTTAATTGTGGTCCCACAAAATATTTATTTTGAAAATTTATCAAATTATAAGACTTTATTAATTATATAAAATATACTTTTATCATTATACCAGAACACCCAAAGATTTAATTTTATAATATTTTGAATTTTATTATACATACATGTGCATATTTCTCTTTCAATGTTATATGTATAAATTATATAAAATGTAATTTAATTTCGATGACATTAAATATAAGAAAATATTATTTAGAATAAATATCCACACCATTTATTTTCATATTGTCATATTTCATATTCATATAACAACATTAACATTTCCTGTTGTAAGAGATCCTTATCAAGATTCTTATTTTTCAAGTATATTACACTTACATATACCTATATATATATGTATATGCATATTATTTATATTATTTATGTAGGTATGTACAATAAGATAAAAATGAAAATTATTTCGAAACATAAAACTTAAAGTCAAGGCTATAAAAAAATTTGACACAACATAAACAATAACAAAAACAATAATAATTTACAAAAAGTGAGCAGAAAAAACCGAATAATAATTTGAAAAACAAAAATATTATTCTGTTTCTTTCATTTCGGAATTGTAAGGATAATGAAACGACAAGAAAAGAAATAAATTTAAGTAAAGTAAAAAAAAAATATATTATCTACCTACCTACATTAGTATTGTTATACAGAACTTACTTATATTTTAGGATATTTGCCAAAAATTAATAATAATAATGTGAATGCAAACCATAAATGAAATGAAATAAAAAAAAACTTATAAGTTAACATTAAAGCTCAGAATCTTAGATAATAGCATTTAGCGACTGCATTTAGTTTTCTACATTGTCGCTGTATGCTGCTACCAAATTCCGGTATTAATTGATCGTTATAAAAAATTTAGTTTTAGACATTCCGTCGTCCCTAAATCAAACCGCGCATCAATGTTATCTGTAATACAAAATAATGCCAAAAACAAAAAATACAAATAGTTTTTAGTTCTAACAATCCACACTTGGTGCTGAAAATTCCAACACGGTACGGTGCGTTTGCTACTCACGAATTGTTCATATTAATTAATATATATGTTAAACAATTTTTTCAATAATGATACGCCGTTTTTATTTGTAATCATAGCCTGCAGAAACTCAGCTAATTAAACTGCAAAATAACCAACACTAACTTAGCGAAATTTTCTTAACTCACGCGCATTCGACCCGAAATGGTTTTATATTTTATAATTTAATTGACTTGATTGAACTTGTTTAAGTATACATAAATAAATGCTCTTAAAATACATAATGCTCTTAAAATACAATTATAAAAAATACTCACCGTTTTTAACTTCTTTATGCAATACATCAGGTACTATTTACCTAAAGATATGCAATTTTTTCAAAATTGCAACTCAACCATCTCTTTCTAACCATCCAAACACGTATACTGTATATGTGGATAATCCTTACCTTTATTCAAATATTTTAAAAGTTACATGGTCGGAAAATAATTTATTTATTTTTTTCTTAAATGTTATTTTATTAAATTTAAACAAAAGGAAAAAAAAAATTCAATAAAATATAATCTTTATGACTCACTTATTTGTTTTTTGAGAAAAAAAAAGAGTGTAATCGAATAATTTTCTCTTGAACACTAAATAAATTTTATTTTTGTTGTTTTTTTTTTGGATATAATATGAATTTTCACTATATCTAGTTTTTCGAGGAGTTTCTAATTTTGTTGCTGTAATATTGCACTCAAGAAGAAAATAATTTTTATATGTATCACGTTTTCTGGCGCCATAACAGTGTTAACGCAGAAAAGTAATACATTCAGAATGCGATATTGTCTGGATTTATTCAAGGATATTTCTGCATAAAATCGCATTGTTCTTCAGAAATATACACAAACGAATATTTTAATATTCGTATACATGCATGCGAGTTTTGAAACCCTATTATGTACTCCCATAAGAGATTTATACGATGATATCATTATTTCATACAATTTTAAATCAAATTAAAATTTTCAAAAACTTATTATGTTACTATTGTCATACTTATGCATAAATAAGAGTTTACCAACCTTGTAATAAGGGAATTAAGATGAAACTGTATTCTAAAGTAGAAAATTTTAAAAGAGATTTTCAAATATTAGCTAAATATTTTTTTTTTTAAATAGGTTCAATATTAATTGGAACAGTAGTATAATACCTACTTCAGAAAATTGAAATTTTCAAGTGCGACAAACAAGTATAATGAGCTTTTATTTTGTTATGATCTCCTAAAAGAATTCTTGAAACATTTACTTTAAATTCCGGAATGATCAACGATTGAGGTTCACGATCTCACGCAGAAGAAATGGAGTAGCTCCTATTTAATTTATTTATTCCAGTGCTCTTAAACGAATTTTTCAAATGTTCCCTTGATACCCAGTAATTTTACTAAAATTTTATTTTATACAATTATTAAATATTTTATGCAATTAAGAACTCCTTATTTTATACAATTAAGGCCTCCTACGTGATTGTAAATTGCCTCCTAATAGCTTTCTTCTTAAATTTACTAAAAAATCTATCAAATATTAGTAACAGGATATCTATATGTCAAACCACTTTGTCGGGCCCTAAGAACTCGAAAATTTGCTATAAATTTCGAGCCGAAAAGTTTTACTAAAAGAACTTCTTTTAAGTCGGGATTGTTTTAAAAAATTTTGTAAAGTTTCTCTGCTATCGGATGAGCGTTCATACAAAGCATTGCCCGCAATTCTAAATATATGGTCCAAAAATGTTACACAACTTCACATTTTAATAAAATTTAATTTACCGAATTTTCTCCTTCAAGAAATTAATTGTCAAAATTATTAATATAATTATTCTAGAACAACTTTATTTTAAAAATTTTTTCGAAAAAGGTGTATTTCAGTAGACTCTAATTTACTTCCATTTATTAAAATTGCATGTAAAATAAATTTCATGATTGTTGTTGATCATACAATAATGTAAAAGTTTTCAAAGTTAAATAAAACAAAATTATAATTAATATTTTATTTTTATTATTTTTTCTTTTTCTTTACAAAATATCCTTTTTAACAAAAATTTTTTATTAACCTTAAGGCATCAATTAATTGTACGCGAGTATTAAAGTAAATTAAAGTGTTTTATGATATTTTTTTGTAATAATTTTTAGAGTT